GCAAAAATTCAAAATAAGTAATATAAATTGCTACAATTTAAAAAAAATCTGTTAAAAGAACTCATTGTTGTTTTGAATCATTTTTAGTAAATAAAATTTTAGTTTAAACAAATTTATTTTGTTGGAACTTTTAAAGAAATATGTATTGAAAAGATTACAAAATTGTTAAGAATTAAGGTAAGACAACCAGTTTATTTTGTATGATTTATTTATTCCATCGATTCTTTTTTCATTTAAATATGTTTTTGAGGAAATGAATAGCTTTGATTTATAAGTAAGAAAAAAAAATTGTTTTAACATTATTGTCTTACTTAATTTAACTTAAATTTTTAAATATAATATAAAAGTATACATCTTTACAAAAAATAAAAAAATAAAAGATAAAAAAAAAATCAAAATGAAGAAGTCAATTCTAATCAAATTTGAAAAAGTGTTAAAAACACTTACTTTTGATAATGTTAATCAATTTGTTTCGTGTATCAATCAACTGCTTGCTCGTTGCCATTGCACTTTTTATTATTTCTATATCGAAAATAAATTTAAAAACAATAAAATAATTGTGCTAAAATAATGCTACTTAAAATTTTAACATAAAATACAAGACATATGCATTTAAACAATGACATTAATATATTCACTTTTAAAGCAAACACTTATATAAATCCAAAGTTAAAAATTATACATTTTTTAGAAATGCTATTTAAATATTTTGATATGATATGTGTAACAGACACTAATAGATACAAACAAATTTAAGTTATTATATTTATTTACTGGCTTTCAGGAATAAAAGTAATATTTAAGGATTATATTTCACTTCCTTACCTATGCGTTTATTAAATGATTGATTTATTTTTTTGATTATTGTCTGAAAATCTCTTGAACTACTTTGTATTTCTCTAGTTATTTCTGCAAAAAGATTTTATTTTTATTTTTAAAAGCGTTAATTAAAAATATGTCACATTGTTTAATCATTATACGTGTGGCGTTAATTAGATTTTATAAAAGCATTTCTCCCAAAGCATAAAATCTACATAATGATAGAAGAGAGAGCTGAAATGAAGCTCATAAATATTATTTGTAAAATGTTTTATACATAATTTTAAGTTGATTTTAAAAAAAAAACTACTCTTTATAATGTGTAAAAATAACACTAAAAGGGTTGTTTTCAATGAAAAAAATTTCATTTGTTTAGTAAGTTAGATATATTAATAAACTATAGTATATAAAAGGAAGTTTCATTAATTGAAAGAAATAAGCCCATTCACTTTTAAATCAATGTATTTTTGGTAAAAAACTGAAAGGAAATGTCATAAGTTTAGCTTATTCTTTTTAAATTTATATAATTCCACATTCTTTTCAGTATTACTCCAGCAATACTGCATCATTTTTTCTTAAATAATATTGGGAATAAAGGCAAAATATCCTGGCTTCTATCGTAACATTTATAACTTTTAAAACGATTTTTCGCAACGATAATTTTCAATAAATAAAAAAAACATAAACTTTTTTCTTATTGATCTATTCGATATAATTATATTTGGAAATTTAGGAAATAAATGGCACACAATTAATTAAATATTATTTTTTATTGAAATGCTTTATTATTTTTAAAAATTTAATAAATTACAAACCTTCTAGAACAATAGTAACTTTATTAATTGTGTCATCGAAATTTGAAGATTGATAAACAGTAGTCCATTCCGACACAATTTCTTTAAATAAAAGAATGGAAACGAGCGAAATTTAAATGAAGTATTTTTAAATATGTATATAATTAATCATAATTCTCATTTGTATTAAAATAAACAAATAACTAAACATTAAAGAGCATCATTTAATTTACCAATCACATTTTTAAAATGTTTGTCATAAAGTTGCATTATCTTTAAAAAATTGAATATACCTTTCATTTCTCATTTATGTATACTATTTTCATAACATTATATTTTAAGAAACCTCAGTACATAATTAAAATTGAATATAAATAAAATTGATATCTAACACATGAATTGACAACCAGAAATAATTAATGACTATTATTGTGAAGTTATATTTGATTTTTAAAGTTACTAATTTTTTAGCCATTTAAATATCGGAGGAAATACAAAGTTTCGATTTATACTTTGGACAAATCCAGTAAGATTCTCTAGTAATTTCAAAACTTCCTTGACATCTTCATTTCCTTTCACTGTAATAACATCTGCATTAGGACAAAGAATAATTAATTAATGCAACATATAACATCAGATAAAAATAACAATGAGTTTTTGTCATATATCAGTAAAAAAATTATTAAGCATATAGTGTAGTAGATTTATTTTATTCTATCTATAGAGAGAATACCAAAACTTTTTAAAGATTGTACTTTTTTGAGTTGGAGAGGGGGGGGGAGAATTTTTTTTGAAATAACGTTTTTTATTTTAAATTTTAATTGGAATATCGAATTATTTTTTTTTAAAATCGTCCTAATAGATATAAGATATCAAAGAAATATTTATCAAATATGATAGCAAAGAGAATTTAGTCTTAATGTAAAATTTGAAGAGACTAACTTAATATAGTCCTACAAATTATTTCCTCACCTTCTTTGAATTTTTTTAGTTCAACAAGCAAATCATTGAATCTTTTAATGTCAGACGGTTTTTGAGTCAAAACAGAAATAAAGCCTAAGAAATAAAATAAAAAAATTATATGAGAATCAAACAATTTATAGCATAAATAATGTATATATATTAATTACACCATCCATGGAAGCGAGACGATGAAGTAGCTATGAACACTTTATCAAATGGCTTACAAAGACGATCCCGGGATGGATGAAAGTTTCTGCAGCATTTCTCAAATGGAATCTTGTCCTCCTTGCCAAATTTTGCCTACCGTAATGCTCTTTTCTACGCAAGGGCTTCACTTTCCTTGCATAACTCTTTGTAAGGTGTCATCACCAGTATAGCTACTGAGACCAAGAGGCATTTTATGGAAATGTGCTTTTGCTAAATCCTGCAAAATTCCATTCTCTTAAAGCCAGTGGATGTAATGGAATATTAAATGTTAATACAGCATAAGATTAACAGGATCGCTGGAACTACCAAAAGGACATTTCCATCAGCGTCTATATTTGGTTTCGGGATATTATCTTCGAATTTTACAAATTTTGTATACACTTGTTGTCTTACCTTACCTTCCAGCATTAATTTTATATTTCTATATCTTTATTTATCAAAACGCATTCCGATATCTTAATCACTTTAAGTACAATAAAAAAACGAGTAGTCCATCTTGTTGCTAACTGAAAGCAGTATAAAGTAATATAAAACTAACCAACACTAAAAGCACATTTGTGTTGTACAAATTATTTAAGTGCAGTTTATTTTTATTATATATTAAAATTCTAAAGGATCACACGATTTTACACCAAAGACTTACATAACCAATAAATTCCGCAAAAATAAAAGAAAACATTTATTTGTGTTGTACAAATTATTTAAGTGCAGTTTATTTTTATTATATATTAAAATTCTAAAGGATCACACGATTTTACACCAAAGACTTACATAACCAATAAATTCCGCAAAAATAAAAGAAAACATTACGAGCCAAACACATGCGAATGTTTCTGAAATTTTGAAAAGAAGCTAGCTCATTGATCGAAGTTCTCGGGAATTTATTCTTCTCGTTAATCTAGTTAAATCATATTTCCTTTATCTTTCTCTTAAAAATCAAAGACGACCATTTTTTTTATGGTGTGTGGGTTTCGGGTGGGGCTAAAAATTGAATAAAAAATAAACGTTGTTGTCATTGGCAACTAATTCATGTTCCGAGTTTTGTCTGGATATGTTGACAGCAATTTGGGTAAATTAGCAATCCAAAAATGTTGACAGGCAGAAACACAGGAACAAAAGCTAACTTAATATAATGTTTTTCAACATGTTATATATGCTCTTCTATTTGGGACTATAATAACTAAAATCTGTGCATTTTCATGTAGCTTTAATAAGACATATAAATATTTAACTACAAATCTATAGATAATAATACATTATACAACAATTATTTTAGATATTTTGTCAATAAAATGCAAGAAAATTATAATTTATAAAAACAATTGTGTTTTAATTTGCAAAAATTCAAAATAAGTAATATAAATTGCTACAATTTAAAAAAAACTGTTAAAAGAACTCATTGTTGTTTTGAATCATTTTTAGTAAATAAAATTTTAGTTTAAACAAATTTATTTTGTTGGAA